CAAGAAAGGAGAAAACAAATCAAGAAACTTGGGGAAGGTGATCAAGAATTCAAGAAACCTCAAGAAGAAGGTGGTGGCAAGAAGAGGAGATCTCAACACCATGGGCGAATTCAAGAGTTCTTTATTTCCCTTTGTTTTCTTTAATTCTTTTATCATGAACTGATTTGTCTCTTGCTAGGGCTGTGGAAAGCCTAACCAGGTTAATGAATATATATTTTTATCTTTATGATTTATCCAAGATTGTGATTTCCATATAGTCTATGAATTATTGTGCTTAATGCAATTAAGAGCTTGACCACCTCTTAATTGATTTGGGTTATGTGAATGAATCGAGAGAGGAATTCACATAATCGACTGAATAGTTCATTGTGTGAATTGAATGGTATATAGAGATATATATACATGATTCATCTGAATTTAATGGTTTTCTTTGGATTTAATGCACTTCCATCTTGAAAGCTCTCCTCGAGAGATCGAAGGGTTACCTGATGGGCGTAGTTTTAGTATATCTCAAGAGAGAATATTAAATAAAGTTGGAAAGACCTCAGCTTATGGGAATGACAAGTAATCTTGGTTAGGTGGACCAAAAGCCCTAGCGATTTCATCCATTGCATATTCGGTTAGTGATCACCCTTGCTTCTATTTTCTTTTTCTAGTTTTTATTTTCAGTAGTTCTTGCTCAAATCTGAATTTTGATTGTCCACATAATTAGGGAAGACTGTGGTTCTAATACTTATTTTGTTAAATCCCCGTGGGAACGATATTTTTATACTACTTGATAACTAGTACACTTGCTAGGGTTATATTTATAGCTATCAACATTGAGGATTGTACGAGCTGAAGAATGTGATTGAGTCCCTCATCTGCCGCAGACACTTACAAGATTATGTTGAGGGCGACGCCCAAGCACCATTTTTGCAACAGCCACAAGCCGATGCTTCCACGCAAATCCACCATACTTTCTTTGGCCGAAGCCGAGGCCTCCACACCACTTGCCAACTGACCTCGGCCACTACGGCCTCGAGAGTGGGGGGCAAGTGATGTTGGAATATCTAGCCGACTTGGAGATCTTGACACATGGCATTGATCGGATGCATCATGGCCATCCATCATCAACTACCATCAACTACTCCCAACTGCTCATCTTTTGAGGCAACTCTGCCTATAAAAGGGACTCCGATATTGAGGTAAAGACACACAGAGTTAAGCTCTAAGTTTCCTCACTTGCTTGTTTCGATCCCTCACAGCCCTTTGGCTAACATGATTATCGAAGTCCTTTCCCTTGAGGTAACTCCCAAAGCTTGTGACATCTTCTTTGTCTCAACAGGTTTGACCTATTGGCCTTGAACACCAGAAATTATGTTGTTGCCCTTGAACAGTTATTTGCTTTCAATTAATCCTTGCTTCCAAATTGGCTTAAGAAGAAACGTAGTGGTTGTTAAACATTAACCTGGCCTGATAGTGTGTAGAAGTAGACCTGTAGACACGATCAATTCAAAGACCTTGGATTTGCTGCTCATCATTCTGGGAGTAAAAGGCAATATAACCAACCATGAGTGTGGGCTTCTAAGAATTCACACATCTGCGACAAATAATATATCCCAATAGACCTGTTCATGGGCCGGGTGGCCCGACGGGCTGGCCTGGCCCGGCCCGACCCTCGGACGGGCTTGAACATGCTTATAGGCCCGCGGGCATAAATTCGGGCCAAAAAGCGCGGCCCACAATAAATTCGAGCCAGGCTCGAGTTTTGTCAAAATAGCCCGGCCCGACCCGACCTAATATTAAACTTAAAATTAGTTATGTGATTATGTCCATTTGAATAAATTTTTTGATTTAAGAATGTAAAATAGAAAAAAAATACTATCTGAATTTTTAATTCTAATTTGAATAGGGAAAATTGTTTTTTTTTTTCAATTAGGTCGGGCTTCGGGCTCGGGCTCGGGTTTCAGGCTTTTTACCAGGGCCGGACTCGGACTCAGGCCTAGTATATTTTCATTAGTGTGGAAGTCCTGCCCGAGCCCGGCCTGGCCCGGCCCGGTCCATGAACAGGTCCATATCCCAACCGTGTATTGGAAACGTCTCCCACCGACAACTTTAAAAAATGTTTTCAATGCACGTTGAGATGTACATGTGGGGCGTTTGTGGAGAGCAGATGTGATCTCGGATTTCAGGTGTATGAAATGCTGACATGTTCATTTGTGATTGAAGATGGGGTTGTAATTGGTTATATATTTTTACATACAGCGTGGTGAGCAGCAGATCTTGAATGCAATTTTAAGTATCAGAGATGCACTCAGCACTCCAGCGGGACCGCATCCACGTGCCAGCAAGAAGGAGGAAGGTGCTATGCCATCAATGGGAGCGCAACAGTCTTTCTCAGAAAATGGGCCTTGCAGATAGATATTAAAAAATGAATGAAGAGAGAATGGAGAGAATAGACTTTGGCAGCTCAAAAGAGTGGATTACTACAACGTGTCAAGGACCCTATACATAGGCTAGACACTATTTTAAAGAAAGAAAATCCAACCATCTTTATCAAAATCTTACAGGAAATGAACTCGGGCCAAAAATGGAGAGCTTTTTCTCGAGCCACAACTGTAGAGTAATAGGTGGCCCAATGGAGAATCATTATTATTTTTTTGGCCCAATGGAGCATCAGTATCTTTTTCTTGGCCCAATGGAGCATCAGAATTAACATCCCATAGAATCATAACTCGACTCTCAACTTGCAATTAAAAAGGAAAAGCCTCATTAGCTATCATTCAATCTAGCTGATGACTTTTGGTACATGACTACAAGTCTACAAGCAACCTTTTATTTAGGGATTTCACCTAAATTTCGCCAAAATTTGGAAAATTCCCGTTTCAGAAATCTAAACCTGATTTGTTTCCTGAATCTATTTTCGCTAAAAAGTTGGACTTTTTTTTTTTTAATTTTAAAATACGACAGCTGATTTATTTGATATTTAAATTTCTAATTGGTTTTAATGGTAGTTATTTTGAGCTTTTAAATACTTGAGAATTTTTGTCATGATGTGTTTATCGGAATTTCAATTTATTTTAATAAATTTCCGTTTATAAAATGCTTGGACGTGATCCATAACCGACCCAAAATAGTTGGAATTAAGGCTGAAATGCTGGGTTGAGTTTAAATGTTGAATTGAGTTGATTGCTGCACCTGGAGTAGGGTTTTCAAAAATTCCAAATCTTCTATATTTATTATTTAAGATTTACGCTAGGATATGGGCCCCCACCCAAGATGGGCTGCCAATTGAAAGACCCAGAGTACGTGTTATTCACAGGGGGAAAACGAAAATCCATCAACTCTGACTGGAACAAAATCCGGAAAGTGCACAATACACAATCACACACATTACCAAACACCACCTAGCTACAAGAGTAACAGACAGACATTGCTCCACACCTTGAAACAAAAAGCTCACGTACAACGTGAGTTTATTGTCTATGACCCACAACGTAACTATTATTCCCACAGTTGTTGTATAGCTTAGTCGCTGTTAACCCTCCTGCAGTTCTTCCTGATCTCTCCTTTGGACCTTGTCAATGGAGAGAGGTTCCCCATCTTAACCATGGATATAGCGAACTGCTCGAAGAAGAGTTGGTTGTTCTCTGCATATTCCTTCACCAGCTCCATTGAGGCTTCACTCTTCGTGAGAAGAACTTGATCAGAATTCAGTAGACCCTTTGAATCCAAAATGTTCTTGTAGTAATGGTTGTTGAATTTCGTGGGGCTAACAAAGTCCAAGAAGAAGAGGTTCTGATCGCCACCGGATCTTGGGCAGCGGGTCCTCAACTGGGCGGCGTACGACTGGTCTAGTGAGTAATCAGGTTGCCCATTGCCGGACTGGTTGTACAGCCTCTGCCTGAAACTGGTGCATCTAGCATTTCCGATGGTGTGGCTCCCTGCACCGAAATAGTATATACAGTTGTTAAACCATACCATGCATCGATCCTTGAACTACTTCTATTTGTGTCCCAGCCGAAGAACATAGAAATCTTTGAATTTACCAGAGAGAGCGACGAGATCAACGACGTTTAGTCCCTTCAACTTAAACTTAGTGAGGATAGTCTGAAATGTGTTGTTGGGAGCAGGAATGTTGTTGTTAGAGCCACTTAAGCTTGCACCTCTAGCGTCTCTTCTTCCCAAGGGAACTTCCCAGCTAGGACCACCAGCCTATATATAGATGAACACAATATTTGCAGATACAGTCATCGATCAAGTTTGGTATATATATATATTCCGGTCATTTTGAGGTTAAAACTGATCATATGGGTTCATTACCAGAACGGTAGAATCTCGAGCAGCAAGGGCCAGGATATCGGCACAAGAGACAGTGTGTGGGCATTCCTTCTCCAGTGCAGATTTTATCTCATCGATGACTTCGAAACCTCGAGCCGAGTTCCGGTTTGGATTCGAGCGCTTCTCGCTGATTATGGTCCCGCTGCTGTCCAACAGAAGAGATGCATCACAGCCCTGTAATTAATGGAAGTCGAATGCATATTCAGATTCAGTACTGAGTTAAAAGGAAGAACAGAAAGTCCAGGCCATACGTAGAGAGTAGAGAGTAGAGAGTAGGTAGACATTATACTTAACCTTAACAAAGCAGTCATGGAAATGGAGCCTCAGCAATGAAGCAGCCATTCGTAGCTCCTTAGCCACTGCTTTTGCGACAATAGACTTAACGATCTTCTGAGCTCTTGGGCACGAGTGGTCGTAGAACTGCGGGTAGAGGTCACCGCCATTGCTTTTCTGAGAGAAGCAGAGTGGAGACAAGGCAAGAAGAGAAAGAACCATGAGAATGATCTTCGAGAGAGCCATTTCTGTTTAATTTGTTTTCTGCAGGCGGGTTTTCTCGAGGTTACTTGTGATGAGAGTTGAGATGGGTTTGGGTATTTATGGAGACTTAAGGTATGAGTCTGAGTCGTCAAAAAGAAATACATAAAGAAATAAAAGAAAGAATAAACGAAAGAAAGGAGAAAGAACATAAATAAACAAAGAAAAGTATAGGATAGGAGTCGGTAGCATTTGGGGAGATTTAATATGGGTTATTTGTTGAGATGTCTTTGTTAATTTCGGTAACGTGGACTGTAGAAATTTGGATCCTTCACTACAAAATGACTAAAAGGTCCTCATCCAGAAGAAATTTTGGAAATAAATTTGGGATAATATTGGACTGTATCATGCACAGGAAACCCTAAGCGCTTTTGCTGTAGGGCTACACAAGACGAGTTCAGGTTTCCTCCTGACATGCATACACCGTAGATCCAAACCTAAAAATCACATGAAACCTAAGCACCTTATTCACACATAGGATTGTACATTAATTAATTAGGGGCATACTTTTTACTATTTTTTTTCTGACTTGGTGATTGTTTAATTAATTAATCGTATATATTTATTGGTCCACACCCTCTTAGTAGGTAAGTCAAGGTTCCAATCCAAACCTAACCCAACTAGCTAGCTTGGAATGCCATTAAGTCATGAGGTTTGAACAGAATGTTCCGGTCCATTGGGGTCAGGTTTTGGGTTAAGTGGCTAGCTATTTATGGGTCAGCTGGTTTGATGAGGTTGGATGACAAGTGTTTTGATTTAGGCGAATCCATACTCAACCTGACCCATTGACCCAATCAACCCAATTTTATTGGGTTGGGTTGGGATAGGATTGAGGTTTTGATATCACAGGTTGAGCCAGGTTGGACCTCAACCCGATCCAGGTGTAAATTGTGCAGCTCAAGATATTGAGTGGATTACTTAGAGAAGAAGGGTATTTTGATAAATTTTGCTGAAGGATTAAGATAAGTTAGTAGGTTTGGATTTGTAGCACGAGGTGAGCAAATACATTAAACTAAGATGGAATGCAAATGCATATATAATATAAGTGAAGACAGCAAAGAGAGCAGAAACTAGGAATATAAATATTGTAAAGTGGGTTGCTTTGTGATTCATCGATCCTTAAACCAATACAGCTTAAATGTCACCACCACAAACCATTATAGAACTCCAAAAAGTCTTTATGTGAAGAGCAGATTGGCTGAATTTGATAGCTACTTTGCTTTACTAGCTGTGCGACCAATCATTTTTCTCCACCCCAGCCATTAATGCAAGCAAGAGATTAAGTGATTGTGGGTCATGTATTTTTTATAGCTGAGGTGGAGCAAAATGATTCGTAGAACAGCTATTAAGTTCAGAAATTTCTTCAACTAATCCTTTAATTCTCATCTAGGTGACGCGCTGTCTAAGAAAAATTGGCTAGAAGTTTCTTCAGCTAATCCTTTAATTCTCATCTAGGTGACGGGCTGTCTAAGAAAAATCGGCTCGATAGCAAATCATCCCAGAGAGTGAGATGTGAAAAAAAATTCAATGGATCCCACCAAAATCTTCATAATCATAAATTAACCTCAAAAAATGGTCGAATTGTTTCTTTGAGAAAGATCTTGAACACTGGTACGTACATGCATAAATCCAATGTTTTAAAAAATGACCCAGAATTAGAATCATTCTGACCATCGGTTTTTGAATCGACAGTTTGATCATCTGATTTGAATGGATAGTCCATTCTGAAAAAAAATTAAAAAAATAATTAAAATAAAACACGGTAAAAAATCGTTGAATGGATCGAATGAATCGATGATTTAACCACTCGAATCAATAGATCATTGACTAATTTAACGGTTTTTAGCCAGAAACTAAATTTGGAATAACAGAATCGGCTGCCTAAATGATTCTCAGGTTGAATGGTCCGACCGTCTAAGCCAACGGTGGTTCAGAAACCATGCATAAATCTACAAATGAATGTGTTTCTCCATTGCTCAATTGATGAGCTAGCTCCTTCTTCATGATCATTTCTTTTGGATCTCTTTTGAGAAACAGTTGAATGTGCATGGTTGATTTTGACACCATTTTGTGTAACATATGTACTGTATTAGCAAGGTTGATACTTGATAGATAATCATCGATTAATTCCACATATACACATTAGTTTTCTAATGTATTCATAATAACGGTCTGTTTGGTTGAACATGATTGAATTATAATTCCCATTTTCGGAAGAATGGCATTCTTGAATAGTCATTCTGGCCTCGTTTACGGGAATGGGAATTTCATTCCAGCCGACCAAAAATTACGCTTAATATCTTATAAAATCTGGTTTCGTTTCCCATATGAATTAAACAGGCAAAAAATAAATAATTGATATACACTTAGTGGCCGGGTGTACTTTTTTTGGATTTTGAGAGGGGGAAAGTAAGTTAATGGGTTTTTGATTCCCATTACTAATAAGTTCATGTTCTTTTTTTCTTTTTCAGATTTATGTGGGACCAGAGAAAGTTTATTTTCTTGCTCCTAGGGCTTAGTTTGGAAAGAGTACAAATGGAAATATGTACAATGTAAATACATACAAAATATAAGGTTTTGCACTCTACATATTTGCATTTGTACTCCTTCCAAACTCAGCCTAGGTGGGTAAATAATTTTTCCACCTGGGGGGAAAGTTGGCAACACTTGAATTAATGGGACAGAAATACCCATTTTAATAATAGATTTTTATGGTTAAAATGGTCATTTCTTTATTTACATGGGAAATAAAAGAACATGAGTAAATGCACTTACGTGGATAATTCTTTCCTAGGAAACACTTATTGTAAGGCTATGTTTGGTTTGAAAGAAAAGGTAGGGAAAGGAAGGGAAAGACAGGAAAACCAATATAAAGTTTGTAAAGATTTCCCTACCTTTCTCTTCCTTTTCCTACATTTTCCTTCAAACCATACATGGCCTAACCTTTGTTGATACCTTTTAACACATAGTTATCTGACCCATACTTTGAACAAAAAGAACTTGACTGTATGTGAGACGAATCATATGTAACCTAACAAGATCCCAATGTCACCAGCCTCCTTAGCTTCCTAAGCCGATTTAAACATCTAATACACACAAGAACCAGTAGCTAGCTAATCCGGTTTCCAAGACAATTCGTACTGGTTGAACCAATCTGGCTTGACCGGATCCCACCATGGTTACCTCTCCTGAACTGAACTATGTTCTGTTCTGGTTGACTAATACAGTTATTTGACTCATAAAAAAACCCAATTGTTCGGGTTTCTATAATCTTAGTTCCACCCTAGGGGTGGACTGAACTAACTAAACCATTATAATATAAAGGGCATGCATGTGTCAGAATCTAACGGCACGTGCTATGTACATGTACAAATAATGGTAAAAAGGTAAAAAGATAAAAAAGTTTAACTTTTAATATAATTTTTTTTACTGTAATTCTTCAGATGTCTTAACCAAGTGATAAAAGTTTAAAGGTTGAGCACATTATATAATAAAGCTAAAGATAAAGATGATTAGGTTTGTCTATTTTGTGGCTTTAATTCATAAAAATGTAGGAATATTAGTGATATGCTAGGGCATGATTTTGGGCTTAGAATTTTCTTTTTCTCTTTTAATGGAGTTGGAGAGCTGCTCGCCTGCTCCCCTGCTTTGTCAAATATCAAATATTAAAAAAAGAATTCTCATATCCAATGTCTGAGCACATTACTTACGTTGTCCTTCTGACTTTCTACTGCGTGGCCCTTGAATCCTTCTGTAGAATTTACACGTGGCATCATCAAACAGATCATTCATTTGAAAATTCTTATTACCGTCCACGTGGCAAAATTAGTAACAAGTTGAAGATTAGATTTTTATATGGGGTCAACATGAGATGGGATGGAACAAATTTCATTATTATTATTTTTTAATTTGGAAATTCCTTTATACTTTTTGGGAGAGTATGAAACTCGTAATTAAGTAAAGGTGGCCCATGCAAGTGGTCAGACCAGATGAACCCGGAATGTTAAACCATTGAACCAGGTTCAATGACTAAATATTCAGCCAAACGATGTCATCTCCGCATTGATTTGGTCCCAAATAATTATCACCAAGGAGCAGATACCTACTAGACATATACATTCATGGTTGGATACTTGGATACGTAGATCCATTTCGAACCAGTTGAAAATTTCAGCTTATCTGAACTCCAATTTTGTTTGTTAAAATGTTGATTAAATATCATAATTTGAGAATTAAATGATGTTTGGTTAATTTCTTCTCTAAGAATCATTATTTGAAGAATGAACGAGTTCTGAGTCAAAAAATGAATTTTATAAGCTGAATTTTTCAATTTCATCAGTTAATCAGCCCTCAGAATGAGCTCTGAGCTAGCCCAGAAAAAAAGAACTAGGTTCGACAATTTTCATAAATCCAAACTAAAAAATTCATTAGAATGAATTCTCTGAAAGCATGTCAAACGCAGCCTTAGTCAGCAGGATCAATTTAATTAGTAATGAATCTCACATTGATTCAGAAATTGATCCTTGAACAAACTCTTGTTACGTCTCAATTCTCAAGTTAGGTCTTCAGCTTTGAGAGACTAATTACACAATTTATGTTGTCTGAACTTGGTTAACCAACCCACTTGGCTGTGTTTGGTACGATGGTAGTTTTCTCAGGAGTGGTTTGTAATTGATCTACACATCGAAAATCAGGAGAGTTGTTGGGTTGTGTATATAACCCAAAGCACATTTGTTTATTGTTACTTATTCCTATTAGGTGCCATCAAGTGCTATATAGGATATGAAGCTAAAAATGCATTTTCAGTTGAGTTCACGTCAGCCCCCCACAAGGGGGGCGCTCCACAACGTCCCCCACAGAACATCCCAAATGTATATTAGGAACATCTCCCGATAATGCCTCATCATTTCTTGTATTATTACTGAAAAATGTTTCCAATACACAGCTGGAATATGCTGTAGGACATTGTGGGGTGCCCCCTTGTGGGGGCTGATGTAAACTCTTTTTAATTGAGATTACCAAGACATAACAACCAAGGCACAAATACAATTGCTTTGCTTAAAACAACCCAACCAAACGAGAAATATTTAAGGTTGAAATGCATATATGGTGCTGATGTTGAATACAAGTATAAATGACTTTCAAGAAAACAAGCTACCACAAGAGACCGGATCTGCTCCTCATGCAGGACATCTCACAACGACCTCACAGGCACATCCCACCGTGCATTGAGAATATCTTCCCTACTTATGTGTTATTACTTACGGGAGATGTTCCCAATGCATGGTGGGATGTGCCTGTGAGGTCGTTGTGAGGCATCCTGTGTGAGGAGCAGATCCCAACTGTGATAGGCCAAACATCACTAGTAACTTCTTCAATTTGACTAGCTAGAATCACTACCAAACCTGTTAAACCTGTCATGACTCAATTACCTTAATTAATATGCCTACAAAATTTATCATAATTGACTGTATTTAACACTCCATTTAATACAATTGACTCCATGCCTAACTTTATTTAACACACCACTAATAGCATTCATTGGTTCTATTAATTATCTTAACTCATAATTAACTCAATTAATTTCATTTAAGCCTATTTAAAGTCAGTCCTATGCAAAATTATTATGTTGTTAGAGGGCTTTGAACTTAAGTTGCTTACTTGAAAATAACCACTAAAATACCCCACAATATCTTATTTAATTAACATCGAATAGTAATCATATTATATCCAAAAATAAATTTCATTTGCAAATGCCCCGGTATTGAGCCACAACCAAACCATCTCTACATGTTTTTGCTTCTATAATCTCAATTATCCATTTAAAAGATTTTTTTGGATGACTAATTTCATAAGAGAATGTAATTTTTCTACTACCACATATCATCATTATTTATTAAACTTAATTTATTTTTAAATTTTGTAAGATTTTACATGATCATTAATCATTAATGAGATTTATAATATTACTTTTTAAGCTATGCATATACATGCCAATGTTTCCTTGGGATATTCTGATAGTTCGTACTTCCCATTTTATGGTAAAATTACACTTCACATAAAATCATAAACTATTAAAATACACATTTCTCTTATGTGCAGAGTTTTTCCTTTTTTTTTTTTTTTGATTCTTATGTATAGAATGGTTAGACTATGAATTATAAATAATTCATATAATTTTAAATATATTTGAATTTCTATGATATATCTACATATATCTTAACTCTTCCATTGTATCCAGAATCTTGATACATTTCTTTAAATTGCCTCTTTAATATTCTTTTCATTTTTATTGCACCTAATTTTACATCAAATAATTAAAATGTATTGCCCCTAAAAGGGATAAGTGGACTGTACAGTCCCTTTGCCTAGTCAAAATAAATAAATAAATTTTGTTAGACCCAGTTGAAGCGTTCATCACGATTGCTTCTGCCTTCTATCTCCATCTAGAATTCTTATCTTAGATTATACGAGAAATATTAGGTGGTTTAGCCTGTTAATACATACAGGATGTCTGTGTGTATGCCATGGAGTGGTTAAAGAGACTTGAAGGAGAGGACGAAAATAACAACATTTGGTTAACTGACCTACTCCACTGAGCACAGGCGGGCACATGCCTACCAGATGTAGCCAATTACCTTATCATATGGGGAGGAAGTCGAATTAAATAATAAATAACGTATAAAATGACAGATTTTATATATTTATTTGTTGTGCATACACTTGAATCCAAGCAGGAATCAATATTCAAGCGTTGGTTCAGTATTTCCCTGTAATACGTTGAATTAGAGGATTTGGTACAGAGGACAGTTGATTAATCACATGATCTCTATAAATACAAGCAAAGACCAAAGAACATCTCCATCATTAAAAGACAATACCATCTTGAGACATACAGAATGGTTTTGTTGAGAGGTTTATGCACCATAGCCTTGATTTTCCTGTCTTCCGGTCTTACTGTAGCTTCCCCGGGTTTCAATTTTAATTGGTTTAATGGTGGTGATGAAAATGGAGAAAGTGAAGAGCAGCTTGGTCTCATTCCAGAATTCTATCAATATTCATGTCCTCAAGTAAATGATATTGTCATGTCGGTGCTGGAACAAGCTATTGCTAAAGATCCCAGGATGGCTGCCTCTTTGCTTAGGCTCCATTTCCATGATTGCTTTGTACAGGTTTGGAGTAACAAAGAAAAGAAATAAACATACATACATACATACATACATATATATACGTGCATATATACATACATACACACATGTTATTAGTAAATTTCCTGTGAATTTTCTTCCTTCTTATGTGAATTTTTTCCCAGGAGTATCATTCACAACATTGTCCGTGGTTGCCTCAGTAAACATATTATGAAATTTTAATTGCTTAAGCCAGTAACCATTGTAAATCATCACCTACCATGCATGAGAGCCAATGAATGATGCATCTATCCATCTATTCATTAGCCAAAAACTTGCATCCATTTTTGCCTCTCAATTACCAATACGTGCCATGCACCAATTACCTGTATGACTGTATATAACCAAGCATGCATATGATGTCTTTCAGGGTTGTGATGCATCAATCTTGCTGGATGATAGTGAGACAATCATCAGCGAAAAGCAGTCAATTCCAAACAAGAACTCTATTAGGGGATTTGAAGTGATTGATGAAATCAAGGCTAAGCTTGAAGAGGCCTGTCCTGGGGTAGTCTCTTGTGCAGACATCCTTGCACTCGCTGCCCGGGGATCCACAGTGCTGGTAAGCAATAGGAAGGCCATCAAATAATTAATTTGGCAATTATGCATCCCAAACTGTCTAAATTCCCCGATGATATTTACAAGAAGAATTTTAGTACATGCTTTTTAGTTTCTTCTTCTTCTTCTCTCTCTCTCTATGGAGGGGGGGGGGGGATCTAAATTTGATCCATTATGGAAATCCAGAGATGGCATATTTTGAAACATGTAAAATTGAATACAGTGGCTGCTGAATTTGCTTGTAACATCTCTAGGACTAAATCTTGGTCTGCCACTCCTGATTTTCTAAGGCTTCTATATTTCCTTGGGGGCTTTGTTTTCTTCCTTCCTTATATCCTTATGTCCCTTCCAAATAAAAATTATATGTGTATTGTGGTACAGAGTGGTGGACCTTACTGGGTGCTTCCACTAGGAAGGAGGGACTCGAAGACAGCAAGTCTCAGTGGCTCAAACATTAACATTCCCCCACCAAACTCAACTCTCCAGAACCTCATATCATTCTTCAATCATCAAGGCCTGGATGAGATAGACCTTGTAGCACTCTCAGGTAAGTGAAGACTACCCGATTTTTTTTATCCTTCTTTCAGTACATATCACATTACCATTTGTAATAGAAAGGAAGAGGATGGGATGGAGATTTTTTTCTTCCTTATCCATACAAAAAGACTGGAACACCTTCTTTAAGGACTGCAATATACTGCTGACTAAAGTGAGAAACCATTTTGTATCCATAACATACATAACCACAAACCTGTGTAGAGTGTACTCATTGGGACATGATATGCAATTTCGCTTTTTTTCTAAATCAACCAAAGTCTTAATCATAGTCACTGTGGAGATAGACCAACATAACCTATTAAACAGATTCAGTTAAAATTTCATAACTTTTTTTTTTTTCTAAATACCAATACAAAGCTCACAACTTTGACATCTTTTCACATAATGGACTAAAATACCATTTGTTAGAGAAACTCCAATCTTGGACATCAATGTTCAAATCCACAATTAGGAAAATCCTCGGAATGCTCCTTTTGCATTTGCATTATTTCATTTACTTTTGCTACATATGGTGCTTTTAAAAGCCAAATGAACCAACTTTCATATACAGAAGAGTCTTCCGTGTTGCAATTTAATCAATAGATCTATTGGAATCTACCACCAAACTCTCCTTTACAAACACCTTGCTATACAATGTATATGGTTCTTTATGGCCTTGAATCAAATATGTGCATTTTGCTTTTTTTTCTATTCCTTAATGTTGTTTTTCTTGTGCAGGGAGCCATACTATTGGAGTGGCAAGATGTCTGAGCTTCAAGCAAAGGCTGTATAACCAAAATGGAAGCAACCAACCAGATGAGACCTTAGAGAGAAACTACTATAATGGTTTGACATCAGTTTGCCCTAAATCAGGGGGTGATAACAACATATCCCCATTGGATTTTGCTTCCCCTGCCATGTTTGATAACAGCTACTTCAAGTTGATCATGGGGGGGAAAGGGCTTCTTAATTCAGATGAAGTGCTTCTGTCAGAGAATAACTGGAATACCGTGCAGTTGGTTAAAAGTTATGCAGAAGATGAGGGGATCTTTTTCAACCAGTTTGCATATTCCATGGTTAAAATGGGGAACATCGGTCCTCTCACTGGTTACAATGGAGAAGTTCGGATGAACTGTCGCCGAGTTAACTGAGAAACTAGTTACCATTATTTTGACTCTATGTATTGGGCTTGGGAACTTCCTGTTCTTTTAACCTTGAATGTTGGTCAAGTGTTTCTTGTATTGTCTATGTATGAATTTTAATCCCATATTTATGCTGCTACTGGAAAGATGGGGCAACTGAGATGAGTCTTTTGTTGGTAGGTAAAAGATGTTAGTCCACCTTCAATTAGAAGATTCAAAGGAAACAGAAAAGAAGGGAAGAAACTACTTTTCTTCCTTATCTCATATATGTGTAAAACATGAAAGGAGCCTGTGGCCAATGAAGGAGATCTCTGAGGCCAGAATTTGACCAAACATGCACAAGAATCCTAGCAATCAGGTATACCTAGGTCTGTAATCGGGTCAAATTCGGATAGGGTCCAGCCACATCCAAGTCGAATCCAATTATTGGAAACTTAAATCTGAATTCTATCCAAAATCAACTAAAAGGTTTTAAAAATCTAGTTACTTTTTAATTTATGATATATACATTTATATAAATATGAAATATTGAATTTATTTGTTATAAATTTTTAGATAATTTATCAGCCATCATATATAAAAGGTAATTGGAACAGATCAAATGTGGTTAAATCCTGTCCGATCTGATTATGTAAATGGATCATCCAAGTCCAAAATAATCGGATCAGATGTCGGATTGGGTTTCAGACTTTAGGAGCCCTAGGTATACCAACTTGTCTTGGGCTGTTAAGGGAAAGAAAGACAAGGAAAAAGACTTAGAAAGGTTTCCATATGCAACCTTCATGATTTATGTGTGGTGTAACAACTGAACATATGGATATCTCCTTTGTGGGGCACATCTGATGGTGGGACATCAGCCCCACCTTACAGCTGTCTTAGGAATCTTGTCCCGACACTGATACTGTGTTTCAAGACACAAAACAAGCTGGATCTCGACCTCTCACTTAAAAAGCTACAACATAACTAGAGACAGAGATTTTAGTATGAATAACTTGTTACACAACATGCATCTCAACATTAAAAGGAAAGTTATGATGAACAATCTATAAATAGCCAAGATTGGCTAATGACTGTAGTTCACTTGCAAGTGGAGTTGTGATGTAGCTCAAGTAACTAAAAAATAAAATGGAATAAATAATCCAAAAAGGACAAGAGAAGAAAAACGAAACCAATGCAACTTTATAGACAAAGTAATTGATTATATGTAAAATATTTGGGAACTCACTTGCTCAAAAAAGGACTCTTTAACTCAAAAAGGAAGGCTCTTAGCTATAAACTATTACAAGAAAAGGTAATAATTTGGATGCCTCTTGCTCAAGGTTACATGCTTTATATAAAGAAGAATATTCTTCTTTATAGGAGCTTTTAAAGCAAAACTAGTTGTAGGAAACCCACTATCAAGAAGAAGCTGTATTCGGAGATTGGGAATTGGGTATTGAACTGGATTTTAATCTTACCTGATTTTTTAAACGCCCAAAAGGAGTCTTTTGGTTTGATTTTTTGGTCTATATTGGAGATTGTTGATGGGGGCTTTTGAAACATAATTTTTACTTTTTTGTTTTTCCTAAGAGGTGATTGTTTATCACCTGTTGCTTTGAATGGTTGTATCGTTGTTTTTTATTAATGAACTTTCTTTCTTAATTGTTCTTAAAAAAACCAAACCAGCTGTTGGAAGTTCATGAACAAACTAGCCACTGGAAATCCACCAACTAAAATAGCTATTGGAACTTGGAACTATGAACTTGGAAGAACGCTAGTGAGCTTAAATGTAGTTCTGTGTCTTTTCCTTTCAAAATGATTTATTGCTTCTTGGAGCATGATTACAAGCTGCATAAACCCAGGAAAATATGGAATGGAAATCATGTTCAAATTCAAAGGCATAACTGGATCAGGGAGGGAAAATTATCAAGGGAACTAGTAGAAGAAAAGCCTATGCCCTTGCAGCATAGGAGCATCCAATTCTGACTATAATGCATATCACCAAATCAAGGATATAATAAGGCCATGGGAACACGTAAAAGAGAAGTTTCACAATCTTCAAGACTAATAATTACTTTTAATCTTCTAATAGAATAATCATTTTAATAAGTAGTTGATTTTACTTTTACAAAAACCGTAAATTTAATATTACTGCAGCTTGAGTGATAATACAGAATAACAGTAAAAATGGAAATGCTGCCAAATGCTTGATTACAAATAACTAATTAAAAATGACTATTCTAGAACAAGGGAATTATCAGCCCTAAATAGTTAGTTTTATGGTGTGAAAATTTTGATAAGTTGAAATTGAACTATAGACAACATGAAGCTTCAATATTTGTAAGCTTTGTTTCAAATCGAACCATATTTTCTTTCATTTGTTCTTTCTTTTCCTCGAGAAGTTACCGGCTGGCGCTCCCAAGAGGCTTGATTGATGAAGGTGCTGTTAAGATCCTCTGCTGGTGTGTAGCCACCCCCACCCCCACTCACCTAATTTTTCCAGTTCAACAAAAAACCAGACAATTTTAATGACTGGAGATAGAAATAAACTAAACATACTTCAATGACTCAGCATCAGGCATGCGCTTAGCTGAATAAGATTGCCTTGTCTGCCATTAGCAAATACAAATTTTGGATCTGTAATAAGTCAGCTAATAGATGATTGAAGCAGCCAATAGTCTTTATAATTCAATTTAGTAAACAGATAACAATGTACAAGTTATTTAACATCAATATAAACCATAATAAATGTTACAAAATAAAATTGCGCACTAGATTACAATCCCACTTACAGTTTCTAGACAGGCAGATAAAATTGTCATGCCTGGCAAAGCATCAATACCATGCTGCAAATAAAAATAAACAATTGTTGGAAAAGAAAATTGCATCTCCTGAAAGAAATGAGGCAAAAAGTAAGTTATTTGGATAATGCTTGTAAACGTAACAACAAAACCTGATGTTGCACACGTGTCTTGTAAACAAAGCCTCCACAACAGAATATTGATGATATCACAATGAACCTGTGTGTGTCAGTTCAAAAAGCTTCAGATTGAAACTGCAGAAAAGTAATATTGGCCATAAAGATGTTACAACACCATAAGTATCAGCCTATGCACTACAATGGCTCCCAAACTAATGAAGGGTATTCTCTGAAGCAAATCAATCCAAAGAATGACCTCCTGTTAAAATAGTCCTCATCAACAAGTTGGTGGACCATGTAAATACTAAATAATACATTTTCTAGGCTCCAATAAACATTATGCAGCTTCCTTCTCATATAGCTTTTGTGATCTATTTATCTACAGAAATGAAATGTATAACAGACATCATTCTCATAGGTCAGCATCAGAGAGAGAAAGTTGAGTTCAACATACACACAAGAAAGCACTCCAAAAGTTGCCCATCCTCTTGTAGCTTCACCTTCTCTATCCTGCCTATATTCTGCAAAATTATTAGAAAAACACTTGAGGGAATGTCCACAAATAGCAACACTGAAATCAGAACACCAAGTCAAGACATATAAAAGTTTTTTTGGTAAATAATGATATTTTTATAAGACAATAAAAGGTATTACAATAAAAGAATTCAAACAGAGCAAAAAATAGTTCAGACTTATGATGCACCCCCTGTTTTGCAAAATAATCAGCTAACCCATTTGCTGACCTCCTTTCCCATTGGATGATAATTGTCATATCTCTAATTAACCATTTAAATATTTTCACTGATTGCCTATATTTTCAAACCACGGTTTTCGGTTCCTTCAGTCATCCTACAATTAATTTAGAGTCACTTTCAATTACCAATCTGTCATAGTTTAGGTCTCTAGCAATTTGTACTCCTTGCAAGACTGCTTGGAACTCAGCATACACCAAGCCCCCTACTCCCACAGGACCTGAAAATACAGCAAGAATGTGTCCTTTAGTATTTCTAAAAACTCCTGTACCAGCCGGCCCTGGGTTTCCAAGAACATTGCTATCAAACTTTAGCTTGATAAAACCTTCTTCAGCGGTATCCAAACAACAACTGGTTTGTCCTTCACAGTAGAATTTCTTGCTACAGCTACCCAATTTTGCCATATACCAAAGGAGAACTCTGAGAATAGGTCTAAAGATTTAGCCCAATGTGTAGCCCTATTTACTAAACATTCTCACACTGCTTCCTCATTCCTTTCTTTACCATTGAAAATTCTGTTGTTCCTCTCTTCCCAATACCATCCAAATCATGGCAGCCTGAGCACATCTCAACATATACAGTAAGTATAAAGGGGATCAACTTGGGCAGGCCTAATCCAAACCTGGCCCAGCCAAAGTCCAGCTTTTGCACTAGTTAGGCTTGGATTTTAGGGGTCTAAGGTATCCCAACGTCCAGTTTTGGGATGAAACCTAGGGTACCTATTGAGCTGTGGTGTTTGGGCCTTCTTTTATTTTTGTAGAGAAGATGGGCCGAATGGCCCATAGGCTGTTATTCTATGTTATATTTATGTTATTCTCTGTAATGGGCCTTGTTCTGGGCCCATATTCTTCTATGCTGTGTTTTTTGTAATTTCTTGCCCAACCAAGGGCCTCTCTTGTAATTATTCAAGAATTAACTTAATAAAATTGTATTAGTGTGTTAGATGGAGAGTTGATTCGAAACTCTCATCCTCTAACACTCCTTGTCGCCAGCTCTCTCTCTCTTATCTTCTCCAATCTTCTCACTTGTTTGGTTTTCTGGTTTTCATCTAATCTTACACAGTCCCATACTTCAAAGGGTTGTTTTCAACTTGGTATCAGAGTAGGCCTGAGCTTGGCATGGCTCTCATTTGGGTATAGTCCAGCTGACTGCATGAGGGTGATGTAGGGCTGGAAGTTTAGACTCATTCGCCTGATTCTTGGAGGTCATTGGAGGGTGCCCAAGGCTCTATTCGCTTGGAGAATAGTTTGGTGATCAGGAAGAATCAGAGAGGACAACTGTTCGGCCTGATTTGAAGCTCAAATCAGAGATTTATACAACTGTAAGTTGCTTCAGTTATTACTGGGTTGTTTTTCTGATTTGGGGAGACTGTTAAAGTGCTCGAAACCCCTCTAAATCTGCTCTGCTGTTTGGCTGTTGTTGCCTGATTTAACTCAGAGATTTCTGGGTTAGTTTCTCATCTTGTTGGACTGCCAAGTGGCCGAAACTTGTTTGGACTCAGTGGTACAAGTTTCTACTTCAGTTCAGTTGCTTCTTGGACCTATACGGACTGCTCTTGAAGTGGTTTTTACTAGTTAACAGTGGGGTGTTCACTACTGCATATATAGTGTTTGTAAAAAGGCCTCTTAAGTACTGTGGTCTGTGTTTTTTGCTCTCTTRAGGGCACTTATTGTTGGGAACCTAGAATCCCTAACTAGAAAGGGACTCCAATCGGGTATATAGTGTTTGAAGGTCTGCTGGTTGTCTCCTGAAGGCTGAATCAGGCCTTCTTCTTCTTGAAAGAGCTGCCACCGAACTTGATTCTCATGGTTGTCAGGTCTGAACTGGCCTTGTGGGTGGCTGTGTTTGTTGCTGATTTAACTCAATCTGAGTTCATCAACAATCAGTACACTAGTGGAAGCTTACCAAAACCTTAATTGACGCCTTTACATGATGGACTTCTCAGATGTTGAGAGTAAGAGTGTTGCTGAATATGGACATGCTTTGGGAACCCCAGCTGATTCTTTGTTGATTGTAATCACAGTTAAACTGGAAGGAACCAACTACTTGGCATGGTCACAATMTGTGAAAATTCATATTTGTAGTAGAGGAAAGTGGGGGTTTATCTCCGGGAGCAAGAAGGCTCCCCCAGTGGATGATCCCTCTTATGAGAAATGGATGCAAGAGAACTACACCGTTATTGGGTGGCTCGTGAATTCAATGCAGCCACAGATTAGTCAACACTATCTCTGATGAACTCAACTAAGGAAATTTGGGACAGTGTTGCAAAAACCTACTCCCAGAAACCAAATGCAGCCACGGGTATAGATGCTGAAGTTGAGTGTGCCTGTGCACAGTTGGCGGCCATGAAAGTTGAGTATGAAAAGTTTGGGAAGATGATCAGTCATCTCGAAGGTGTAACTTCATCATCCAACCCTTCAGGAAGTTCAGCCACCTCTGCATTTGCTCACTCAGGTATAAGAGCTTCTGCTAACCATGCAACCACCTCAGGTAATCCTAAGACCCTTTGGATCATAGACTCAGGTGCTTCTGATCACATGACCAACCTTTCCACTTTGTTTGTTTCATATGATTTACTTCTTGGTCATGACAAAATCACTTTAGCCGATGGCTCTATTGCCTCTATTTTTGGCAAGGAAACTGTCAAAGCTACAGACTCCTTACTTCTATCTTCCATTCTTCATGTACCTAGATTAAATACCAATTTGTTATCTATAAGTAGCTTAACCAAGTCATTAAATTGTTGTGTAACCTTCTTTCCTTCCCACTGTGTTTTTCAGGATCTGGAGTCTCGGAAGGTGATTGGGAGTGGCCATGAAGTGAATGGAATATACTTGCTCGACACTCCTGGACAATGCCTTTATCATCCTAAGAATGCTGCTTTTGGTTCTACCTCTTCCGAGTCTGTCAGTCGAATTATGTTGAGTCATTGTCGKTTGGGTCATTTACCTTTTTCTGCTTTAAGTCATCTATTCCCTGAATTGTTTAAGGGAATCAGTGTGTCCAGTCTTAATTGTGAATCGTGTTAGTTATCAAAGCATTGCGGAAACAATTACCCTTTGAGCAATAAAATATCTTCTTTTCCTTTTAATGTTGTGCACTCTGATGTGTGGGGGCCTTACCACTTATCTTCTATGGGGGGCTACAGATACTTCATCCTGTTTATTGATGATTTTTCYCGATTYACTTGGATATTCCTAATGAAATCTCGTGATGAAGTTCCAAGACTTGTGAGGCAATTTCATGAATTTGTTTTGACTCAATTTGATACCAGGATTAAGATTTTTAGATCTGACAATGCAAAAGAGTATTTTGAGAAGAGCTTATCCTTGTATCTCTCTGACATGGGGGTTATTCATCAAAGCTCCTATGTTAGAACCCCTGAACAGAATGGAGTTGCTGAAAGAAAAAATAGGTATATTTTTGAAGTTGCAAGGAGCCTTTTGTTTGCCTCACATGTTCCCACAAGATTTTGGGGTGATGCTGTTCTCACTACTACCTATCTCATAAACCGTATGCCATCCAGGGTTTAGGGTTTAAATCCCCTTCAGTCTTCTTCATCCAGACAAGGATCTCTTCCCTATTCCTCTTCGTGTTTGGTTGCACCTGTTATGTACACATTCCAAGTGCCCAGAGATGTAAGTTTGAACCAAAAGCCCACAAGTGTATCTTCCTTGGTTATTCCCCCACACAAAAGGGTTAYTGTTGTTTTGATCCAAAGACTGGCACTTGATATGTCTCAATGGATGTTACCTTTGATGAACTTTCTCCTTTTTATGGTTCCTCTCAGGAAGGACATTGTTCACAGGGGGAGAGTTTGTCACAAGTGTTTGCTCCTCCTCTCCCTGTCCCAGTTGAGTCTCTTGATGAGCCTGTGTTCTCACCAAATGAATCAAGGGAGGATCAATCACTGCATTCTCCTTGTCCTAGTGCTCCTATCTCTTTACCTCCTCGTCCTACCCACAATCCCAAGGTGTATCAAAGGCAAAGATCCAGGAATGAGCAGGTTGTTTCCCTTACAACAAGTGAGCCTCATGCACTACCAATCACAGATGAGACAACAGGTGCTGTTTCAACCTCTTTGGAACCATCTTTCCCTGATCTTGATGTTCACATTGCTATTAGGGAAGGAAAACGGAAGTGCACTGCACATTGCATTTCCAAATACCTTTCTTATGGTCTGCTTTCTCCTTCATACTTTGCCTATCTCACTTCAGTTGCTTCTAATCCTATTCCTAGGTCTGTGTCAGAAGCTCTTGAGATTCCAGAATGGAGAGATGCCATGAAATCTGAAATGGATGCCCTACACAAGAATGATACTTGGGAAGTGGTGGATTTGCCTGAAGGGAAGGATCCGGTTGGTTGCAAGTGGGTCTTTACCATTAAATACCAGGCTGATGGGACTATTGAGAGGTACAAGGCTAGACTGGTTGCAAAAGGCTACACACAGACATATGGGATTGATTATCTGGAGACCTTTGCACCTATTGCTAAGATGACATCTGTGAGAGTTCTCTTATCTCTGGCAGCTCACTTTGACTGGCCCCTCTATCAGTTGGATGTAAAGAATGCATTTCTGAATGGTGACTTACATGAGGAGGTTTATATGTCTCTCCCTCCAGGAATGTATGGAAGTGATATGCAAGGAAAGGTATGCAAATTGAAGAAATCCCTTTATGGCCTCAAACAGTCTCCTAGAGCATGGTTTGAGAGATTTAGAGCAGCACTTGTTAAATTCGGCTATGCTCAGACACAGTCTGATCATACTCTTTTTGTGAAGAGAAGTGGATCTCTAACAGTATATCTTATTGTGTACGTTGATGACATTATTGTGACTGGTAATGATGCCTCAGGAATTCGTGCCCTTAAGTCTTTCCTTCGTACAAAATTTGAGATTAAGGACCTGGGGGAGTTGAGATACTTCCTTGGCATAGAAGTTGCTAGATCCAAGGATGGGATTCTTATCTCCCAAAGGAAGTATTTCCTTGACTTGCTCTCTGAAACAGGGAAGATGGGTTTTAGACTAGCTGCAACTCCTATTGATATGACTCACAAACTTTCTGCTTTAGATGGAACATTTTTGGAAGACAAAGGGGTCTTTCAGAGACTTCTTTGGAAACTCCTGTACCTTTGCATGACTCGGCCAGATATTGCATATGTTGTCAGTTGTATTAGTCAGTTCATGCATGCTCCCCGAGATACTCATATGGCAGCTACAGAACGAATTGTGTTATTTGAAAGGCTCTCCAGGAAAAGGAATTTTGTTTACCAAGCATGGCCATCTGAAACTTGAAGCCTATACTGATGCTGGTTGGGCTGGAAATATTGATGACAGAAGATCTACTTCAGGGTATTGCAGTCTGGTGGCTGGTAATGTTGTCTCTTGGAGGAGCAAGAAACAATCAGTTGTGGCCCGACCCTTAGCAGAAGCAGAATATAGGGCCATGGAACATGGAGTCTCTGAACTGTTGTGGCTAGGGTCATTGATGGAAGAATTTGGGATTGATCATGACAAGCCAATGATGTTGTACTGTGATAATTAGGCCGCCATCAACATTGCCCACAACCCGGTACAACATGATAGAACTAAGCATATTGAGGTTGATAGACACTTTATTCGAGAAAGAGTCTCTTCAAGTGAAGTGTGTCTTCCATTCATCACTTCTGAAGGACAATTGGCAGATTTTCTCACCAAGGGCATTCCCAAGGCAAGACTTCTGCATGACACTGGCTAGCTGGGCATGATTAACATCTATGCTCAACTTGAGGGGGAGTGTAGAGAAGATGGGCCGAATGGCCCATAGGCTGTTATTCTATGTTATATTTATGCTCTTCTCTGTAATGGGCCTTATTCTGAGCCCATACTCTTCTATGCTGTATTTTTTGTAATTTCTTGCCCAACCAAGGGCCTCTCTTGTAATTATTCAAGAATTAACTTAATAAAATTGTATTAGTGTGTTAGAGGGAGAGTTAGTTCGAAACTCTCATCCTCTAACACTCCTTGTCGCCAGCTCTCTCTCTCTTATCTTCTCCAATCTTCTCATTTGTTTGGTTGTCTGGTTTTCATCTAATCTTACACAGTCCCATACTTCAAAGGGCTGTTTTCAACTATTTTGTTGCTAGTGGGCTTGAGTTGTAATGGGCCTACTAGCTCTCTTAGTTATTTATTCGTTGCAGCCGCCCTATTAGGGGCAACATCATAGTTTCCAAAGCGCCAAAGCAAGGCTAGGCGAAGTGTGTTGATTAGACAAAATTTAAGTTCTTCCTTTACTTATTGGTTCAGATTTTGAAGTCATTGAGGGTTCAATACAGCAGTTAACAATGTTTGTGTTGATTAAACCCTAACAAATAAGAAAATAATAAAAAGAAATTAATTTATAAACACAAAAAATGAATATTTTTCTTTAATAATGTCTATTTTATAATTATAATCTCAAAAAAATAACAATATAAAAGTATTTTATTACACAGTATGCAAAACTGATTGGCGACTGGGCGAGGCGAGCCTCCGAGGGCGCCTTGTCATTTAGGCGTCGCCTTGACAACTATGGGCAACATTGTAATTCTGTACACTTAAATTTTTGTCAAATAAAAGTAATTAAGGGGGCTGGGAGATCGATTAGATTCTGTAATCACTAAAACCCTTCTTTCTTCCTTCTTCCTTCTTGCTTCTATTCTGAACTTTTCTCTCTTGTTTACTGCCATTAAATTTTAGTTAATCACTGTATTTTTCAAGTCTGTCTTACTTGTTAACCTGACCTGATATTTCCTATGCTGTGGGTGGGATTAGTCAGTTTATGCATGCTCCTAGAGACACTCATTTAGTAGCCACTCAAAGGGTTTTTTTGCTACTTAAAGAGAACTCTAGGAAAGAGATTTGTTTTGCTAATCATTGACATTGAAAGACAGAGGTTTATACAGGTGTTGATTGGGCAGGTTGTGTTGATAAAAAGTTTACATCTGGATATTGTATTATTGTGGTTGGTAATCTAGTCTCTAAAAGGAGTAAGAAATAGCCAGTAGCAGCAAGGTCCTCAACAGAAGCAAAGTACAAGGCAATGACCCATGGAGTGTAGAACTATTGTGGCTGAGATCATCCTTGGAGAGTTAGGTGTTGTTCATGAAACCAATGATGCTATATTGTGATTACCAGACCATCATCAATATAGCTCATAATCCAATTCAGCATGACAAAACAAAAAATATTGAAGTGAATAGACACTTCATAAGAGAGAGTGGATTTTGGGGAAGTGTGTCTTCCATTTGTTTCTTCAGAAAAACAACTAGCCAATGTCTTTTACAAAAGGGGTTACCTGACACAAATTGAGACTGTATGTAAGCAAGCTGAGCATGATTGCCATCTATGCACAGCTTGAGAAATGTTGAGTAATCGTGTTTGAGCCTTTCTACTTTTATTTTATTGTTCGTGGGCTTGAGTTGTAATGGTCCTACTAGATCTCTTAGTTATTTATTCATTGCAATGTCCCATTAGGGGCAAGATTGTAAATTCTGTGCATTTAAAATTTTATCTAATAAAAGTGATTAAGGGGGCTTGGAGATCTATTAGATTATCTAATCATCCGAACCCTTCTTTCTTCTTTCTTGCTTCTTGCATCTATTCTGATTATATTCTCTAATCAGGAAGGTTTGGAAAGAAAAACCCAATATCTTTTATTTTTTCCTTAAGTTGGATTGTATAGCCAAAAGAAAATAGATTAGAAAGGTTTGGAAAGGAGCAGCTGAGCACACATTAAGCTGTATCAGGGATCAGCTCAGGTTGCACTTGTCCAATGCTGTTTTTACCCCAACTGAACTAGGCCTTGGAGTGGACACCAGCTATAATGTCAGGCCTTTCTCGGTCCTAAAACCACCCAGGCCCAGCCAAGTTGCAGCCAAAACAGAGAAGGGTTAGAATAAAAGAATTGCAAAACTACTCTTTTATATTCTTGTTAATTTGTAACTTATCAGGGTTTTTATTTAGAGTAAGAAAATAGCAAGCACAGAAAAAAGTAATAGACAGTACATCTTAACCATCCCCAATACAGTAAATCAAGAGCCAGCCTGTCATGCAACTCTCTGCAAATACAAATACAAGCTCAAACAAAAGAGTTCAATCCCTGGGTGGTTTACTCCTAATGCAAGGTGTTAATATTGCTGTCAATGATCTTGATTATGTTGGTCCATCAACCTCTTTTTGATTCTATCAGTCAACCTCTTAGTTTTATTTTATTTTTTCAATAAGCCCCAAAACTATCCAATTCATGCAAATACATAAAAAATATGTTGCTAAGGTAAGCTTATAGGAAAATATTTTTTATAGTAAATCTTATCAGAAATCTATAAAATAATAAAATTTAAAAAAGAAATATAATTAAAAAAAGGGACCTTAAACAGATTTGGTTGAGAATTGTAACTGGGAAAATTATTCCCAACAAGAGTAGGACTTGATCTCAAAAATCAATAATGGAGTTTTTTTATTTTTATCAAGGAAGTCAAATGGAAACTGGAAAGTTTTGGGGTTATGGTGTTTCGGAGGAGTTCATGGATGAATTAACCTTGGGGGCCATTGCTTGGTGAGAAGGACAAGCACGAGAACATGGTTTGTGTCTGAGAGAAGCCATTTGTTGCAAAAAAGTCGAAGGTTAAAGGTTAGGTCAATATCCGGTCTACCCCTCCCCACACCCCAGATTGTGTGGTGACAGGGGAGCAGGGATGGTTCTTTCTCTGTGAGATCCTATTTCAAGTGTCTGATGTCTTTGAATGTTGGGGATGTCCCTTGTAAATGGATTTGGGGGTATGGAGTTCCTATGAAGATGGTTTTCTTCTGCTGGACTGCTATAAAATATAAAATCCAGACTATTGATCATCTCAAGTCAAAGGTATAGTGCTAGTTAATTGATGCCCCCTCTATGTGAATGACAACGAATTGGTGATTCACCTTCTAATCCACTTTCTTTTTTCTATGTCTCTTTGGATCCACATCCTTCAGTTGTTTGGCATTCAGTGGGTGACCCATGGAACATCAGTGGTTTTCTCTTGGTGGCTGAATGCTGGGTTCAGCAGGGAAGGCAAGTTGTGGTTGATGGCTCCTCTGGCAGGGTGCTGGATTCTGAGTTCTGAGAGAAATAGTAGAATCTTTAAGGGGAAGGCAGCTTCTCCTCTGGAGGTTAGTCTCTATTCAGCTGGGCAACTCATAAAGACTTCCAGGGCTTATCATTTCAGCAGCTCAGTGACGAGTAAGAGCGATCATTGGGCTGGGCTAGTCTCTTTGTTTCAGTCTTTTATCAGTCTCAAGTGTGCTTAGTGTTTGCTTCTATTGCAGGTACTGCACCTGATTTTCCCCCTTTTCCCCAAAGGGGGTTTGTATATCCTTTCTGATTATAATATAAATCTTTATTTACATTTCAAAAAAAAAACATGGATGAATTGAGCTTGGCTAAGATTTTCTCAAGTAACATGAAAACAGTGTCATTTTATAACCATGATAAACTGATATGAAGAAAATGACAAATACTAAAGCCAGTCAATATTTTTGCAGTGCTTCAAACCAAAAAAAAAAAAAAAACTAAGGACTAATGCCAGATCTTTTCATCCATTCAAAAAGCAGGATATTTTACAAGGAATTTCTGCTTCAATTAGTGTTAAATCTGAGAGAACACAACAGTTATCGTCATTCAAAACAACTAGCAAGCGAAGATCTTACCACAGGTTTTTGTAAGAGTAAACTCAATTGGCGCATAACCCGTCACTGGTATAGAAATATTAACTTCATATGGACTATCATGAGCCTTCTGACCTGGAAACAAAACACCAGAAAATTATGTACTTGAAATATGGATAGATAGATAGATGAAAATGATCATACATCTCCAATCTAGCATCAATATTGTAGGTGACAAGGTTGTAGGTGGACTTCCACTTGCTCCTGAGCCTGATAGCTGAACCTCTAAGCCTTTGTCTGGGTTAACCTGGTAGAAGGAAATAAAGTTATAGCTTTTAAGATGATCTGCCAAAGAAACAACAATAAATGCATAAAGTTGCAATGTTTCTTGTTCCTCTTTTATCAAGACTCCTAGTTATATCTTAGTAATGGATTAATAGGTTTGCACAAATAAATGGGGTACCTTAATACTGGGCTTTCCCACCAGATTGGAAAGAGAAGAAATCGCAGTCATATAAAGGGACACATGAGTTTGTTCAGTTCCAAAGCTGCAAATTCAGTATATATAATGTAAACAGTGACAATATGGCAAAGTTCAGCAACAAATTTATTTCAGAAGCCTATGATGAAAACCGTACTAGATGATGGAGGAACATACCAACAACATAGTTTTCAAGGCACCAAGGCGAGGCTAGGCGACAGGGGGGCGCCTTGTCGCCTAGTCGCCTAGGCGAGTGATTTTTTTAAGTGAAAAATACATATCCTAGGTAGTTCCTAGGTTCCATAACCATCTTTCGTTAATAACTATCCATAATTTTCATAAGAAAATTATAAACTTCATGTTTATGTCTAGAAAATCAACATATTTATGAGAAGAAAGTTCAATAAATATGGGGACTGAACCACTATTTTTGTTATAGGAAAAGAAGAAAAGAAAAGGTGGAAGAAGAAGAAGAAGATGTGGAGGAAGAATTTCATGTGGGCTGAAACTGCAAATGAAATCTGGGAACAAGCAAAGTCTACATATTCAGAATTGCGACACTATGCCAAAATTTATCAATTGCAGGCAGCATCTTCTACTTGTAGACAG